GCGCTCTACAATTCTACAATGCAATGCAATATATTACAGTTGTCAGTGATTTATTAGGAAATGATGATGATGATTTTGAATCTAACTGAAAAATAAAAACATATATTAATAATATCATAAAATATTTTTTTTGGAAGTTCATCCAGAGGATTTTGGCTGCAATGTCACGTTTTAGATTTGTTATTCAAATTTAATTTGTAAAACATTTTGTTTCAATCAAATATTTTAATGATATTAAAATTCGTTTGTAACATCTGTCCAAACTCAAAATGTTTTTACTCGTCTGCGTGTGGCACCATCGCTACGTCACAAATTTATTCACAATTTTTATTTATGCCTTCTCATTCTCAGCGCGTTTTTGTAAATGTTTGTGTGTGTGCGTGTGTGAGTGTGTGTGTGTGCGTGTGTGAGTGTGTGTTAAACAAATTGAAACAGGTGGTAGAAACGTTGTGAACTGAATAATTAAAAATTTCTAATTTGAATTTTCAATAAATTCAAATTTCCTGACAGAGGCAACAGCAACAACTAAACACACAGCGCATGTGAGTACACGCAAACCAATATGCATCACACACTGCTGGTGATAGGTAGGTGGAGATCTCTTCTTAATCCAATCCGGTAACTGCAATATCAGTGCCAGCCACTTTACCCTTACACCATCGTGCTGCCCATTACTATTGTATTATTGTTGTATAAAGAGTGTTTATTTACAAAATTTTAAATTTTAAACTTTTGAAGGCTTGCCGTTGAAATTATATACATTTAACCACTACAATTAAACCAAAACGAATCATACATTAGAATGGATTATGTTAATATCTAAAAAATATTTTTGGAATTTGAAGTAGAATTAAAATTAGAGATAAATAAATAACCGAGATAATCATTCTTGAAGTTTCAAACACACGGTGGATATGAAATTACGATTAATTACGTTAATAATTAAAAACACTAATTAAATTAATACAAATAGTTCTGTTACCAATAAAAACGTCATAGAAAAACAAAAAATAACACGGTGTAACACAAAATATCACAGAATAAAACTCAAACGAAACTCAAAAATTCAAGCTCACCCACGTATAAAAATCTTTTTCAACTCAGGCTCGTCGATATAAGTCAAATATCACGTATTCAACTTAAAATGCATTTGCATTTATTGAACTACGAAAAGTTTTACCTAAAACATTTAAAAAATTTAAAACAAATTCACCGACGTTGTTCACGCATATACAATCCTTCCCACATTCATTCAACACATCTACACGTCCATACATACAACGCATCTATTTAATCAGAACATCGACGTGGCAACACTTTTGAAAAGAAGGTTCGCCAGACAAAGGTCAGTTTCCAAGTGTAAACTGGTGAAATAACCGTATCGAACTAAAGTCTCCAAACTCTACAGGTTAGAAAAAATTATTTTCTCGATAGCAATTACTGTAGAAGTTCGTTGGGCGGGTAGCCCGATTAAGCTACTTTGACCTTTTAAGAATATAAAATGTTTTTTAACTTATAGTTATTCCAGAGCAGATATTATGTTCGTAGAAAATTTTTAAAAAAATTCATTCAACATGTTACAAATTCATAATTTAATTTAATCCCTTCATTTAGATCACGTTTTTGGGAAAAAATTTTTAACGTAACTTAACATTTTTCCCTAGACCATACCAGAGATTCGATCGCTGCACGGCACAATTGGACGATTACCCTCTTATGAACACGGCCTAGTTTATCATAAATGCGCTTTCGTGACCAATTTTAAAATTTGCTGCGACCCATTAAATAACCATCAAGTAAGCACTCGACGATAACACTTTATTTTACGCTGCCAAATGTGTGTTTCCAATTAACTAAATAAAATGAGGCTTACAAAATAGAAATTACTTCCGATTTGATGTTTGGTGGTGGAAAAATTATAATTTTATCCAGATATTTTTTAATTCACCATCGAAATTAATTTAAATTTTTTATATTTTGAACATTTTGTAAGAAAAAATTCAATTGTAAATTGTTTTACTGATAAACTATTTAACTCAATCCAATATTTTCGGTATAACCATTTATAACTTAATTCAAAACAATTCAATCAAATTAGACAAGAG